TGAAAATTTCTTCATTTTCCTGTATTGGTTGTTTACTGTAAACAGATCTAGCACCTTGGTCGGAAACTCATTTGCACAGTCACACCTGTCATTTCTCCTATTCAAACTAGAAGAACTTTTGACCTCTTTCCTCCATGAAAATTGTTATTTGATTTTGATCTTATTTCTGATTTTGGAGACCTACAACCCTTGGCGTTGTACCTCACTGCCCTAGCTACCACACTTTTCGGTGATTAGATCCACCCATCCTTCCTTGAGACTCCTCGATCATGTGTCTCCATAAGCGTGAATATGAGTCATTGCCACTTGCATTTCTCCACTTTGTTTGGGTCGGTAATGAGTTTTTGTTAATGATGGTAAATGGTTATGGGCTGCTGAGGCAGCATCTAAAGCACCACAGAATCTCTACGAACAAAAAACGCATATGCAAAACACATTCATTAGCCAAAACGTTTGCATCAACATTTGTCTCCTTAACACATGACAAAAGGATATCGGTTGGGATGAAGCCTTATCTTTGATTTCTCTATTCTACCACTATCTTATTTCTATTAGTGGCTGTAACCTTATTTGTCAGGTGAAGCATCGGTAGTTTACCTTGACCCATGATTTATTGCTGCTAGAAGCTCATCATTTCCTAGCTTAACACTTTGTTCTTCGTTGCTGAGTTCAAAACATCTTGTATATTGTTCGATTGAGCAAAGAACTATTGCTGCTCAAATGTCATACAATTTTATTTTCTTGACTGGGAACAGTAAACCTGTTTGGTTCAACCAATCCAACCTGACCAGTGCCCCCATTGGTTCAACCACTGGTCCGGTCTCTAACATCTTGCACTACATCTGTGTAATGCGAATAAGTGGAGATTTAGGTCTTCTAGTGAGGCCGGAAGCTGAAGATGCTCTTTCAAAGTGAGTTCATAAAAGTTGGAATGACTTCATTGAAGCTGAAGATGAGTTCATTAAGTGCCTGGAGTCGGAATGATCTTTGCTTCTGGTTCTTTGTAGAAATGTGGTATTGTTGGTTGAAAAGTAGGTGCTTGTGCTAGAGTAGATTTCAATAGCATGCCCAATTAAAAAAGATATCCATGATTAGGTCTGGTGCGTTAAAGCATATAACGTGTTGGATGTGATCATGTGAGATTTTGGGGCCTTTTCCCAACTATGGCATAGACATTATGTGCAATATTATAACTTGCTAGTAAGATAAAGAGGTCACTGAAAAGTTTTTGACTAGATGGGAGATCTAGAACCTCCTATCTTGCTATCATGCAGGCAATCAAAATGGGCACTCTTGGTACATTGTTGATAAAAAATTGGGTTGAGGTCTGCATCCCTTTATCTAGCATAGCAGTAATGAGTATTGGTATGAAACTTGTTGATGTATTGAGGTTATGCAAGAGAAAATGGAGTACTTCAAGAGTTTCCAATGTGTTTTTTATTCAGGTTCAAAGGCCCATGCATGCACTAAATAGAAGATATGCTCAAAAGGCCAAATCATTTATATAAAGAGGTTATGGTAAAATACAAAAGTGTGCCATCAATAATAAATGTTTTCTTATCAATAAAAAATAACATACTTACTCTTGGTGTGATATTGGGTTTAAGGCTTTAGTACAGACCATGATGAGTTTTATTGTAATAGTGATTACATTAGCAAACATGCATATTGTAGACTTTTGCAGTGATTAAACAAGTGATTAAAACACCTGTGCCTTTTGACTGAATATTTAATTCTATTTTAGGTGTTTGGAGATTAAACAAGCTGGCAATATCATCTTTGGCTGAGCTTTGTCTATCATATTTTTGCTACGAGGTTATCTTGTCCATTAAATGGTAGATCAAAGGAATTCATCCTCAGAGGATCCAATGGGGCATGCAAATTGTCACTGTCAAGTGCATATGACAGAAACTATTTTGCATGGGCTAAGTCGATCACAATGATAGTTTAACATAAAATACGTGATTGAAACATATAAGTGCCCTAATCCTTGGACAACCAAATATGAAGAGTCGATGTCATCAGATGCACTTATTATGACATGGATTCTAGGTTCTATAGATGAAGCCATTTGATATGGATTACTTTTCCTTGATTTGGCCCCTTAAATATGGGATGCCCCAAAAAGACAAGTGTTCTTAGAAAGATAATATTGCCCAAGTGTACCAGCTTTATGGAGACATAGCTTTACAATCTCAAGGAGAGCAATCTCTGTTAGAATATTATGGAGCACTCAAAGGCATGTGGGAGGGACTTTAGCCCTCACCATGCAAGTGTCTGAATGCCTTTTGAAATTGCAAAAGCAATTTTAGAAGAGGAATATTTTCGAACTCCTAGCTAGCCTTAATGATGACTATAAGATCGTACATTCTCATGTATTATCTGCTGAAAAAATTACCATTGGTTAACATTGTGTGTGCTCTTCTTCAAAGAGAAGAAAAGTGTAGGGAGTGTGAACGGAGTTCAGCCACTAGACCTAGATGTGGCAATATATTCGGCTGGACAAATGATAGGTGCTGGGCGGGAGACTAGCATCACACCTACTAGTCTAGTCAAGGTCACAACCCACCAATTGACACACTTAACAAGCATGATCAGTCAACTCATTCCGCTCCTCGAGAGAAAGAAATCCATTAAACTCTTTACAAGTGTAGCTATGTCTCAGGAGACAAGTAATCGCCACTCCCTTCTTGCTGCGTCCTCCAATTGTTTTATAGACTGTACTTACCCACACTAAAGAAAAACCATGATGATTCCACGACTGTTACCCTTGTTAACGGCTCTATTGCATCCAATAAGGATGTAGATCCCATTAATCTCACTCCTACCCTGAGTCCTTCACAAGTCCATCATGTTCCTTCTTCCTATGCAACTTACTATCCATCAACATTATTAAAAAACTAAATTGTAGTGAAACTTTTTGTTTCTCGTGGTGTCTTCTAGAGCTTGAGCACCAAGAAGATGACTGGGGAGGGGCATAAGAAATGGTCTCTACATCTTCAAAAAGGCACCGACGTCGTTAGTATTGGAAGATAATCACGATGGAGATCTTTGGCATACTTGTTTGGAACATCCTTTAGGTCATATCCTTAAGAATATGTTGCATTCTATTTCTCTTTTAGACACTATGCTTACCAACTTTTGGAATATTCTCACACATGTGACCCAAGAAGAAGAAACACTATGTCAAAACATGCGACTTTCCTTGATATTTTAGTTATTTCGAAAATGATCGAGCCTCAAGTTGAAAAGCAAGGGAGAATCATAGTCTAGATTCATCAATATAGAAGCGTTTGGCACAATGCCCTCTTCTGTACCTCAGTATAGCAAACGTGTAACAGAAAGTCCCATCTTGACCTATTCAAGAAGACCAAGGTGTTCGATCACTAAGGATGCCGTAATAACTAATGGTCCAGTGATTAATGCTCTTTATGAATCAACTGGGTCCGAGCCTTTGTCATTGGGTATCTCCTGTCGATCTTACTTAGATAGTTAGATATTCTAGTTGCTCTATGAAAACCAAAAAGTCTTTCATCCTATTTAACATTTTGTTTCTAATATTGCCATTTTTCATCATAACAGCATTTAGCTTTCTTTTGTTAAGTTTGTCTTAGAACCTAGAACTTTTGAGAAAGCCATTAAAATTAAAAACCCAAAGTTTAAAAGATAAATGGAGGAAGAAATTCAATCTCTTGAAAGAAATGATACTTAGGTCATAGTTGACATCTCCATCCCCCCCCGGAAAAGAAATATGGCAAAAGGGAACCAATGGGTCTACAAGCTCAAATTTTAGCTTGAACAAAGTATTGACTGGTGCAATGCCCACCTTGTGGCTGAAGGCTTTGCGCAAAAGTACGGAATTGATTACTAAGAGACTTTTGCACCCCTTGCTAAGATGGCAACTGTTTAGAATTCGCTATCCGTTGCTGCCACAAAGGGTGCTGTCTCTTCCAAATGGATGTCATAAATGATTTCCTTCATGGGGACTTAGAAAAGATGCTGCCATTGCCAGATTCTCTAGAGCCTTCTAGCAGGTTTTCGGCTGAAAAGGGCTCTTTATGGCCTCAAGCAGTCATTCATTCCATTCAGCAATCCCATGATTTCCATAGTATTCAACAAAAGCAGTTCCGATTATTCCCTCTTTATAAAGAGGAGACCACAAGGTACTACTTTATTTCTCTATGTTGATGATATTGTCGTAATAGGGGATGATATTGTGGTAATAGGGGATGATATTGACAACATATCCTCTCTCAAGACACATCTTTGCCAAGAATTTAATATAAAGGACTTCAGGCCCTTTAAGTAGTCCTTGGGTATAGAAGTCACTACTTCTAAAAAATTTGCCAATATAGGAGGTGGGTAATGTTAGGTAGGTAGCCAACCTAAAACTTTGCCAAAAATTTTCATGAATCTTAAATCTATGTTATCTTCTTATACTAGGGGAACATGCTACCGCAAGCAACGTGCTATACCAGAATATGGGGACTTATGACCTCAGGTATGACCCTTGATAGAGGGCGGACCAGGATTGGTGTAACCAACCCCAAATAGCTGGGAAAAGGATCTTATGATCATGATGATGCTGCTGCTGCTTTGCTGCTGACAAGTTGGAGACATATTCATATTCTAGTTTTGGAACTCAAAGTTTCCTAATCTGTGGGATAATAAAAACATATTTCCGTTCTCCATGTTAAAGACTCCCAAGATTGAAGCAAATAATGAGACATTTCTTAATGACTCAGCCAGGAAAATACAGAAGTTTCATGAAAAAATTCCATTGCTTACTAGAATATGCAGCGAATATAAAATAAGTAAATAGAATCCAGTGTCTTAAAAGGTTGAACAATCCTTAAATAGCCATGATACCAGGGCCATAAAAAACCACTTCCAAATCTGTCCAACATACAATAAGCACACTGACAAAAGAAAACACTAGCAAGCAAAACAAAAACCAAAAAAAAAAAACCGTGAGGAAATAGAGATGAGAAGCTCAGTACCAATTTTCTTTTAATCGAAGCTCAGTCTCACTCTAAAATCCCTAGATCACGCAAAACCATCAAAGCTTACATAAAAACGCAAACTCCATGAAAACACAACAAATATATTCATAAATCAATATAATGCTATTTAAATCACTCTTAACCACAAAACTATATACAGAGGTCTCATTCCTTGCTAATCAAACATTAGTTGCAAATAACAGCAAAATTACAGGAAAAAAAAATAGAAAATCCCTGCAAAGCTCACTACAAAAAAAAAGTACCTTATGCTTGAGAATTTGGCTTGGCTTGATCGATTCTTTGAGGGATTTAGGAGATTTTAGGATTATAAGAAATGAGTTAGATTTGGGCACAGTGACAGAAACAGAGGAGAGAGAATTAGAAAGATACCCTACACGAGAGAGAGGCTCTGCGTTAGCAATGGAGCGAGACGAGAGGGAGAGAGTAACGTGGGGAAGAGAGAGAGAGATTGATGAGAGGGACGTCCTGCCCAAAATCAAAAGGAAAATGGTTGGACAGAGATGCAGCCCCATCAAAATAATTATTAATAAGTAAAGCCTCATCTTGACTTGGAAATTTGAAATGCAAGTGTCGGCCCGGTTACTATGCGGTCAAGCCCGCATATGTAGAAATGCGGGCTTCTAAATAAATCTATTTTTTAAAGGGATAAGAGGTAACTTTTAAAGTCATGTAATCTCTAACATAAACATAATGAATATGAAAAAATAAATAAATTTTAAAAATTAGAAATAATAATTTTACTAAGAAAATATTTGGATCATTAGTTTTCATTTTTTTAGATGGAACACCTACTTCTATCCATCTTTAAGATGAATGCTTTACATTTATGAACCGCATATGTAGAAATGCAATCCAGCCCGCATAAAACAATATGCAAAAATACAATCCAACCCACACCAGACTCTGCTTCTCTCTCCCTTTCCACGATTCCGAATATGCTTCTCTCTTTACTTGGCCGATTATTACTGTAATTCGAGTACTGTAACAATGTTAAGTTTTGTTACAATATTCTAAGTACCGTATACAATATTCATTACAATGCTTAAAGTACCGTAATTGTGTTTTCATGGTAATACAACTATCGTGAAAGTTATTTTGGTTACATACTACCCAATATTGAAGAAAAAAAATGTGGATGAGGTTTATAAAAGTTGACTTTTCTTTTCTAAATAGGCGAAAATTAAAGGTATATTTGTGATAATTTCTCTATATTCAGTTTTTTTTTTCATTTTTTTCCTTCTAGCAACAATTATGGTTGTTTTTCTACCGTATAAAAAGGGTATTCATTACAGTATTCTAAGTACATTATAAAATGGAGTATTCATTATGGTAATTAAAGTACCATAATGGTAATTTCATGGTAATACGACTACCGTGAAGGTTATTTTGATCATATACTACCCACAATTAAAGAAAAATGGTGTGGATAAGGTTTATGAAAGTTAGGTTTTTTTTTTCTAAATAAATAAAAATTAAAGTATATTTGTAATAATTTTCCTAAAAATTAGATCCAAAAATCCATCTCGAAAATGGATTTTTAAGAGGTGACCCATTTTTACATGAACTCCTAAAACTCGTATAATACGCTGAATGCATTATATGTTTCGAGGTACCCCATAATTACTCCACCACCAATCTCTCTCTCCTATGTCCTCTCTTTCTCTGCTCCATAATTACTATTACTCTCTCTCACAGCATAATTACTCCACTACCTCTTTTTCTATTCCACAAATTACTCCACTACTTTTTTCTTTTTTTTTGAACACCATGCGTAATTACTCCACTACTTCCATCTCTCTCTGCTTATAATTACTTCACTAGTTTCTCACTATACTCATAATTTTTCGGATTTGGTTTCTATGCGGTCAAGTCCACATATGTAGAAATGCAAACTTATTAATAGATTTATTTTTTAAATAGATTTTTAACATAATTTTTAAGGACATGTAATCTCTAACATGGAGATCATAGATATGAATAAATAAATAAATTTTAAAAACAAATAATAATTTTAGTAAGAAAAACATTTGGACCATTAGTTTCCATTGTTTTTATATGGAACAACTACTTGCATCCATCTTTTAAGGTGGGTGCTTTACACTTTTTGGACCGCATATGTAGTAATGCGGTCCAACTCGCATGAGACAATTTTCCTAATCTCTCTCTCTAGTAGCCAAAAGTTTCTTTCAAAAAAAATTTCTCAAACTTTGTGATACACGTAAGCTATAAGATTTAACATCAAATGATTGTAAGCAATTGTAACCTCCCCATATAAAAAATAAATAGTCTCATTGTATACAGTCCTTCTTTGAATTGATGTTTTCAAGGTAAGTTTTTTACGAACAAAACAACCTTTATATTGATGGATTTGGTTTCATGTTATATTGTTGGTGGGACTGATGAAAATTAGTTGATTTTTCTCGACGTAGGGAGGAAAACGGTTTATAGATTCCACGATTTGTGGCTTGCATTTTTTCTTTCTTCTATTTGAAAACCAATTTGGAAATCCACAAATTCCTTGGGAGTATTTCCATTGATTGGTAAGAAAACGGATTTCCATCGATTTTTTTTTCTAGGAAATAATTCTTGAATAGACAAGGGATTTCCACAAATTACTTTCTAATACAAAAGAATTCTTGTACAAACAACAATCCAAATCAAGAGACAACTAGTAAAACACACAAGTTAAAACCAAGAGCTCAAGAGTTAAAACCAAGAGCTCACTTAACATGGGTCACCCTTTCTCTTCCTTTTTGCTACTTTGTGCCTTTTTAATGGTTTTCTTTGGTTAAATAATTGATTGGGTATCATATATTTCTAGATTTAAGCAAAATTGTCTTTTTCTTTCTTCTCTCTGTCACCGAGTTCTTGTTTTCTTTCTATGGCATCTCTAGCAATTTCCACCCAATAAAAGTAGGTGTTATAGAAAGAATCGAATCCATGATGAATCACAATTGGAATGTAATGGCTCAACTGTGAGTGGTATTATGGTGGGACATTTGAGTATTTGGGGGCTATTAAAATTTTGAGTAGACAATAAAGTTGTGAATGATGAGAGAGAGAGAGACAGGTTTGACAAGAGAGAGAAGGGGGGTGAAGGGAGGAGAGCTTGAGCCCAATTGTTCTAGCCTTCCCTCTTTTAAAATCTACTTTGGATTGATGAAGGCATTTCTGATTTGAGTAAATTCAATATTCATTGAATAAAAGATTTTGGAGAAGAGAGAAAACTAAGGAATTTAATGAATTTTTAACATACAAGATAAAAAGTGGGACATGAGTGCAAAATATAGGAGATATTTACATAAATTTGCCTTTTTAAAAAATATTTGAACATCTTCGTGAGAGAATCCAGCAAAACTGTTCATGGGAAGTCTCAAGTGATTGCAAAAAATGCACGAGTATTCAGCATTGCCACTCAAATTGAAGGTGACAGGATATGACCTCTGTTTTTTGGGTAAGTGACAGGATATGCCCTCTCGCCTTTTAATAGACATTCTAATTCGTTAAGGACCGCAAACATAAGGTGGAAGGGCATGGCATACAATGTCCTCTCCACATTACACATAAAACTGATAACTGCTTCGGTCATTTCATGGCGGACATGCATTCCTTGTACACATATACATATGGCAAGTTTCAGAAGCAAGAAAATATTTACGAATTACATGATATCTGCATCAGGCTTATATGCAGCAGGCCCATTTTCTAAACATCAAACAAGAAAATTTAGCTCAAATAGATTAGAACATGCATACACCACACTGCAAACAGCTTCACAATACAACACAAGATGCAATATGAAACTCGTCAACTGTCAAACAAACTAGGCATGTTGATTCTTATGCATCGCCTTGATTTTCAACAGTTCACCCCAAAAAAAAAAAGTTGAATTAAACGACTTTGAAGATAAAAATCTAGCAAAGGAGAAACAATAAAAACCAAGTACGATTGTAATCCCAAAAACAAAAAATACATAAATAAAAATGAAAGAGATAGGTAATAGAAGGGGGAGAATGCCGTAAGAAACCTACCAATAGATTGACCACTTTGCTTTTTAAAAATAATTAATACCCAAAGCTAAAAAGAACAGTTCAATTGGATGATCAAGAAACAAAACAGGCAGAGCTTCCAGCAAAAAGAAAAAACAAGAAATTGCCACAAGGACCGCTCGATCAGATGCTACTTTCCCCATATTTCGGGAATGCAATCAGGCCAAAGTATTTTGTGGCAGGAGAAACTAGAAAGCCCAACTAAATAGTTTATCCATGAAAAGAAGAACAAATAACAGAAATTGCAACTTGTGACCCAAAAAATGTCACAAAATGCAGCAAAGAATTGAAAGTGCTCAATCTAACCAGGCATGTTTCCAGAGGTACTTCCTTTATTTTTTCAACAATGGATACACCCAAGAAAAGAGTTCAACTAAACATCCAAAAAACTAAACAGACAAAAGTAGCTTGTAACAAGGAAGAAACAAGAAACCCATTGAACTTGTTGCCCAGAAAATGTACGAGATCAGAAAATAACAAAAATGAAAAATTAGATATTGCCATAACTAGCTCGCTAGATCAGCTTCGTCCAAATTCTTCAACAATGGTTACAGCAAAAAGCAGTTCAACTCAAACGCCTAATAAACGAAAAGTTACAACGTACTTGCACCTGTGAGAAAAAAAAGACAACTCATGTAAATAATCACCCCAAAGATGACAGAATATAGAACACACCCAGCAACTCAGAATCTAAAGAGACAAGAAGTACTTGTAGCAATGGGAGAAACAATAACACCCACCTATATACCCTAATAAGAAAACAGAAAAACAAAACGATCTAAAAAGTTACCAGAAAGATAAGAGAAAAAAGAACAAAATCATCTAACCCCCAAAGAAAAGGAAGGGAAAGAAAAAGAACCAAGGAGGCCACATCGCCTGACCATAAAGAGACTCACCAACTCAATTACCCGCTATTTCCCCTTCCTTGCTCCGGAACTTGCTGCTGTTGCTGATTGGGCTGAGTGGGCCATACCTGTTGGCCGACAAACGGTCGGGGCTGCTGCCCATATAGCCCTTGCTCACCCACCGGCCTCCCCACCATAGTGGCTACATTGGGTGGTGGGGCTTGAGCAGGCATGTAATAGTAAGGCATGGCATCAGTCGGTGGACCCCCAACCGCCAGACCCGGGCCTGCAGGCCTTGGAAGGCCAGCCGCTATAACCTCATCCTTGAGTTCATCTCTTGGGACAATATCGACCAAGAAATCGAAGATATCAGTTCGTGTGATAGCTGCCGCAATATCATTCTTTTGCAGGGTGCGCCTCTTGTTCTCCTCAGTGTGGATCCATGAACGCAATGTAAGCTCCAAGATGAACATCTCACAAGCCTTTGCAAACACAACAGGGGCCTCAGCCGAGATCATGCGTACATCTTCATCAGCCTTCATGATTTTTTTTATTCGAGCTAAAGGAAGACTATGATTTTTGAAGTCCGTGGTTTGCTCTATTTCTTGGAGTTGGTTGGCCCAAAAGAGCTGGAGTTGGTGGGCTTGTTGGGCTTGTTGTTGGTGTTGCAGGTGTTGGTATGCTAGCGGGTGTTGGAGGTGGGGCGCGCTAGTGCCAAATTGGGCGGGGCCCACCTGGCCCAGGGGTGAGCCGGGGCCTGCAGAGGTGGCACCAACAACCTGAGAGGTTTGGTAAGAAGGATAGGGCATTGGTGGTGGAGCCCCAGTTACCATGCCCATGACTGGTGGGGGTTGTTGTCCTTGACCTTGTTGGTGGTCCATTTCTTGTTCTAGAACTGCTCAACCTTTTTTTGTTTTTTTTTTGAGAATTGAGCTCCACTGATTTCTTTAGTAACCTGTAATTCAGAAATAGAAGACAAACAACATAAGTATTCTTTTTTTTTATTTATCTTTTTGAAAGCTACCCAGACATCTTTAGTGTCTTGCATCTCAGAAATGGAACAAAAATAACTATAATTTCTTTTCTCCTTTGTCTGAATATAAATAGGCTGGATTAGAAGTTAGAACTCAGGCCCTCTTTTTCTTTACAATTCTTTTTAAATGGCAAGTTAACAATTCTTTTTAAATGGCAAGTTAGGCTCAAACTGCAAAAATAAAAATTCAAGGTTACATCGAACAATGCAATCCAATTAGTCAATGGACTCAGACAGATGCAATAAGTACATATGGTAGATCCAGTGTTCCAAAACACATCGGGCGACGCCGAGGCGGCCGGGGAGTCTAGGCGGGCACCTAGTCAAAAAACGCATGGAATATCTAACCATCTAACTATTTTAGGGTCACATTTTGTGTTGAGACATATAACACATTAATTATGGGATTGTATACAATGAGATCATTCCCCTTTGGTACAGGGACGTCACAATTACTTATAACAATTTGATGTGACATTTGATAGCTTGGGTGTGTCACAAAGTTCAAAAAAATTTCTTTTGAACTTTGAGCTTGGTCAATGAAATGAATGCAACCACCCAATTTCACATCTTATGGTCAAGATTAATTGTGACCATCTAGTACCAAAGGTAAATGGTCTCATTATATACTTTCCCATTAATTGTACATAACATATAGTCCATCCATAATCCATTAGCCCATAATTCCATACATTTCAAATTCAAAAATCAAAGTTCAAACTTCAAACTTCAAACTTCAAACCTTTAGACCATAATCCATAATCCATAGTCCATACCATAATCCAAACTCCATGTACTCCATAATCCATACATAGTAAAAATAGGAAAATATTATAAAAAAACCCTCTAATAGTTCTAAAAAAACCCTCAAAAGTAAAAATTGTTCAAATGGGGTTTAGGTTGATATCAATCTAAACCCCTTCATTTACATACTTAACTTAAAAATAAAAAATAAAAATAAAATAAGCCCTCAACGAGGGGCATTTTCACCCTAGGCTGGGCGCCCCTGGGCGGCCACCCAAGGCTAGGCCCTATGCGCCAAGGAGACCACCCAGTTTTCCCGCCTAGGCCTGGGTGATGCGACTAGGCCGTTTTTTGGAACACTGGGTAGATCTCTCAAATACATGGCCCAACACCCTCGTATTGGAGCATGTGTATATCCCACTAAGACAAGGACTAAAAGAAAAAACATTATAACTGGAACAGATCGAGAGAGCCATTCGCATAATTGTCAAAAGATGTGAGCCTCCAGTAGAAAGGATTGAAGAATGGCTATCATAACTAACTAGAAAATATGCATCCAGAGATGAAACTAATATAGCTATACTATTATAATATGGTCCATTGGTTATGCATTCAAGACTATGGTGTCTACTTGTCCATAAAAAAGGCAACTTGTCCATAAAAAAGGCATAAAAAATTCAAGTTTTGCGCCCTAAAATGAGAAATCAATTCGAACTTCTTAGCATAGCCTCTATGACCTCTGCTAGCAGAAACCAGTGGAGAGAGAGAGAGAGAGAGAGGGAGGGAGGGAGGGGGGAAGGGAGGGAAGCCGAAACTGGCAGCCTAAGGTGTAGTGGAGTAGGCTACCGTGAGATGATCAATACCATCAAAATGCATCCCTAAGCCACGAGTTGGACATGCTACTATGATAACATGGTCTGCTCTTTCTTGTTCATCTAGCTTGTGATCCTCCCTATCACTACGTCTTAGCAAGTATGAACGGAAGTCCTAAAACTTTCAAGTTTCCTTCATATGGTTTCCAGAACCAGTCTTCCAACATTCTTCAACGATTTGGGCACCTTTGGTTGGTGCATAAATATTTCCCCAGGAAAAATATTTACATATGCTTTTCTCCATGTTTGTTAACACGTTTAAAAAGCATTGTGTAATGAATTTCATATGTTTGGCATTTATATATATTTTGTAAATATGTTAATATATACATGCATTATTCAATATTATAATTAAAAATATATAGATATATTTATTTAAATATTATTAAAATATTATATATTAAATAGTTGCCTCAGTGCTACAGCAGCTACCAATTTACCCCTATCTCAACACGCATCGCTTCAATCAATAAAAATGGACTTTCGAGGTGGAGGAGGCCTCCTTAAAGCATTTGGAAACAAATTTCGAAGTAAAAGTATACTCCATGTTTGCCCTAGCAATATGCTATTATCCAAAAATAGAAAGCCTTTTTTCCATCCCTATAAGGAACATACTTCAAATATACACACCCAACCTAACCCCAATGCATGATGGAAGATTGAGCCATAACTTTTTAAGGAAAAAAGCTAACTAAGTATCTAACACCTGAGCACCTTAGAGGTCCATACATACGATTGTAGACTTGGCAATAAATATGCACGCATTCACCCACTAGATCTACTTGTTGAGGGATTTATGACCTGTATTTTGAAAAAATACATTTGTCAAGGCAGAGTCAAAGGGACAACTTCGGAGGGGTGAAGCCCCGAAGGGCTTGAGGCCTGGAGGAGTGTTCGGCACAAGTAGACTCGGCCCTTGCAGGGGTTCGGGGGCGGCAGTCCCCGAGGAAATCTCGAATATCCGTATAAGGTTATTTCGGTAATTTGTACCATCCATCTGGGACTCGATATATATTGTAGCGATGGGGGTTCTTTTTAGGGTTAAGGGAAAAAACCGAGATTGCTTTGTAATTAGAAAGAACAAAGAGACGTGAGGAAGAGAGCTATTGTAACCCTATTCTCCAATGCCAGTAAAGAAGCTCTCATCTCCCGTGGACGTAGCCACGTTGCCGAACCACGTATATCTTTGCGTTGTGGTTGGTTGTCTCTTTCTTTTGTGTGTGTTTCTTTCTTGTTTTCGTGGATTATTTTTCGTTTCTACACAACTTACTGACAAACCAGTTAAACTATTGAAGCACAATCAAGGCTTCAATGAACACTTCTTAAACACTCGTTGACTTTGCGATGCATTGAGAATTGGGTAGCGCAAGAATTTCACAGAAGGGGGAGATTGTGCACCAATCAAATGAGCTCCATAGGTCTGAAACACAAAAGTTCCAACACAAATTTAATAATAATTCAATCTCCACTTGCATGGACCCATAATACATATAAGAAAATAAAACTCTAAACCATAATTTGAAACCCAAGCACATGAAGCCTAAAACACTCTTTCTTACTCCGTCTCTCACCGAACCCATAAACCTTAAAAAAACAATTATGCTATTTTAGTGCCAAACTCCTCATAATATTCATCATTATGCTTTAGACTAAGATTTAAGGCCGAAAATAGAAAATTCAAATAAAACGCATAGAAATAGTCGTTAGTCGTAAATTCAGAAGATCTTCAAAGGGTATTTCAAATCACCCAAAATAGACGTGGGTGAAATTTGTACTCCTAAGATGATTACTGCATAACTGGGAGAATTAAGAAGTGTCATCAATTAATTCTTCTCTCCATGGTTATGGCCATATTCTTGAAAAGGCTGGCCACTGAACTCATGGGCCTGACCAGCATCCCCATATAAGACTCTTTAACATCAACCAGCATTTAAATATGAATAGAACTCAACCTCCTCCAAGACTTGAGACTACACTTCCAAGAAATCCTAAGAAAAGACGGCAAAGAAACCACATCATATATCTTCTTCATGCCAAACAAAAGATTGCCCTCATACCTCTTTTTTATAAATAATTGTCCCTATAATTGTGCCCCTAACCTCTTTTTTCCTATTATTATGAACTTAAGGAGCACCTACTTGAAAAAGAGGTGCAACTCACCCATGATTATTTCAAGACACATAGAGATGCATGGGATAAATATGGGATTACTATAATGACCCACACAAGGACCGATAATAGGAAAAGGAGTACTATGAACTTCAGGTAAATTATTGAATGGGGACAACAATCTTGCGATCCATTGATGCATCAGATAGGATTCATGGTGTGGTATTTATCCTCTATTTGGTGGAAAAATGCATTAAAGAGGCTAGAGAAAGTCATGTATTTTAGGTTGTTACAGACATGGCTGCAGCACCATTGCGGCCGCAGGAATATTGGAGATCAAAAAGCGAGATATTTTGTGATACCATGTGTGGCACACTACATTAACATCATGCTTAAGGCGATTAGTAAGATGAAAGTAGTAGCCTCAACTCCTAAGAAAGCAAAAGCCATCACGGTATTCATATATAACCAGTCAACCACACGTATATGTTGGCCAGTAGGAGGAGGTTCCGAGATAAGAGGGACATGGTATGGCCCAGTGACTAGATATGCCGCCTCTTATTTGTCTTTGCAGCCTATTTTACCCAAAAAGACAAACTCAGGGCTATGTTTGTATCTGAAGAGTGGTTCAAAGAAAGTGGATAAGACAATGGGAAGCCAATGGCTGACATAGTTTTAGCACCAAAGCTTTGGAACAGGGTTGTCCAAGCCTTATAGGCCTTTGAAGGTTTTGCACATTGTCGACAATGAAAGAAGCCGGCTATGGATCATATTCACCAGCCAATGAAGATTGCCAGGAAAAAAAATGGCAAGAATTTTGGAGCTCATAGTTAGAGACAGGCCCATTCACCCAACAGGGTATCATCTTAACCTTACTTATTCTAGGATATTCCTCATATTGATATTATGGGATGCTTTATATCTACAGTCAACAAGTGCTTAATGATACTCGTCCCTAGTATTAAAGAACAAAAAGTGTCAAGGGAGATGGACAAATAAATATTATCGATGGGGACACTTGGCACCGAATTGGCAATAAGGCAAAGGAAACACTCCTTCCAAACAAAGTAAAATTTGTTTCTTGACTGTGAATTTGTGACTTAGAGTACTTAGTTCTAAGTCTAATTTCCAAGATCTAATTTGCCTTCTAAATATGATCAGATATTATTATACTCTACTTATTTTTATGTAATATTG